TTCAGAAACTTTCATGGACTCAGGTCAAAGGAAGATGTCCAAGGGATGCTCCTAAGCATGGAGTATCTGCTCCTTTGGAGAAAGACCTGAAGGCTTCAGGTCATCTTGGGCTTTGTCCAGAGCGTGCTGGTTTAACAAAGGCAGGGAAGTTCCTCAACAGGGGATAATCCATTGCTCATCACCTTGGATGGCTTGAGATGTTGAAGGCTCTGGGTCCACCATGGGGAAGCAAGGCAGTGGCCAGTTTAGGGGGCAGGATGGATATGGCAGGGGGGCCATTACGCTCCCTGGAATGGCCTCTGCCTCTGTGTGGGCTCTGGCGGGGCCAAAGGCTGCTCTGGGGCATCCAGACAATGGGTCACCCCCGTCCTGCCCAGTGCTGAGGTGACATGGGAGGGGACACACAGAAGGAATGTGGGGCCAGGCCAGCCCCAGCCCCTGCTTAGGTGTGTCCCTGCCCTGGCTGTGCCCTGGGGCTGTGGGGCCGGGCTGTGGTGTCCCTATGGACAGTGTCTGGGGACAGGGAAGTGGCACACAGGGCTTGGCCTGATTGGTGGGTCAGTGGCCGAAACTGCCATGGAATCCCTGCCCTCAGAGCTGCTCAAGAACCACCCACACAACAGGAGCCAGGCAGAGCCTGTCTGTCAGCTGGTGGTGCCACCAGGGCAGGGTCCATCCCTGCCTGACAATGTCCCCATCCTCAGCCTTGCTGTCAGCCATGGAATCACTCAGGCTGGAAAAGCCCTTTAAGATCACTGAGTCCAGTTCCCCCAGCCCTGCCAAGTCCAGCACTAACCCAAGTCCCCAAGTGCCACATCCATGAGCTCTCCATTGCTCTCAGCCTTTGGAAAATGCCAGGACAGTTCCAGTGCTAATAAGACATTTGTGTAATTAAAAAAAAAATGAAATTTATGCTGTGCAACATGTTGTGACAGATTTACACAGCACAGACCAAGCACAGTGACTGCCCCAGAGGTGTGTCAGGGGCACCCTTTACACAGCCAGGGAGGAGCAGAGCAGGGTGAGCCCGGGGCAGGGTCACTTCAGGCACTACTCAGGAGCTGTGTGTGCCTTTCCCAGAGCTGAACACTTTCAGAATGATGTGCAATTTCTGTTSCATGCAATGCTGTGGTTTGGAGCCTGCTGAGGAGGGCAAAGGGGCCAGAGGACACCAGATGGACACAAACAGGAGCATGCAGTGCCTCTGGGAAAGGCCTCCTCAGTGCCATCCCTGAGAAGTTCAAGGGCAGATTTAGGGTCAGACTGCTCAGGAAGGGTTAGCTGAATGCAGCTGGGTGCCATGGGGGARGTGTCCATACCTGGGCAGTTGCCCTTGGCTCCCCTGGCAGTCAGCAGGCACCCAGAGCACCAGGAATAGCTGACCTCCTCCTGTGGGCAGCCCCAGGACTGTACCCTGCCTGGGGGTCAAGGGGGCTGTTTTTGGCTCTTTGTCATCTCCTGAAGGTACGAGCTCTCAACCCATGTTTCTGTGCTTCTCTCCAGCTTCATCACCCGCCTCCCTCTGTCACCTTCCTCACACCTGCAGCACAAATGAACCTAAAATGGCTCAGAGGCCCGTGACCCCAGCTCTGTTCGTGTCCCCATGTCACAGACAGCCACATCCAGGTACACCCCGATGCCCTGACAGGTGCCTGTGGGTGATCCAGGAGATTTCTCACAGGCACAGGCTGGTCCATGTGGGCACCACGCTGGCTCCAGGCCCACAGCAGCCATGGGGCCGCCTTACAGACTGTGATCCCACCCAGACAATGCCAGGGCTGCGCTGTCCCTGAGCCCACCTGGTGCTCTGCTCTCTGGCAGCAGAGAGCTCTGGATCCTACTCTTTCTCTCMCAGCTCCTCGCTGGAGAAGGATGGRACTGACTCTGCCCCTTCTCTGGGCATGGTCTGCAGCCTGTGGTTGGCCTAAAGCTGAGTATTTACAAAGCTGCTCTTGACTCCAAGAGTCTGGTCCAGCACATCTGCTCATCTCAGCACTCGAGGCACCAACACCATCCCACCCTGCCCAGCCTGGGACCCTCATTCCTGTCACTCACCTCTGTCACCGCGGGCATCCCGGCTCTCCAGCCCTGCCTGTGCTGTGTGGTTGCATCCCTTGCCCTGGGGGATTGAAGGTGTCAAGTGAGACAGGGGCAAGACTGGGGGGCTGAGCTGAGACCAGCACCTGGGACAGGTGCCCTGTGCCAGGCCAGGGATCAGGTCCCACAGGTCCCACCCCGACATGGCATCTGTGAGCTGTGACCCCTGCTCATAGGAGAGCCTGGGTCACTTCTCACACAGGCAGGGAGACAGACTTTGGACAGACTTGGCAGACGCAGCTTGTGGGTTTCCCTGGCCCTTGGCACGGCTCCTGGGGCTGCAGAGCAGCCGTGCCCACAGGGGAACACACCACCAGAGCAACCAGGGCACAGATCTGAAGAGGGACAGAGAGAGCGAGGTCTGGACAGGGCCTGGCAAACTCATTCCCTGTGCAGGCACACCCCCTTCCCACCATCATGGGGAGAGGATGCAGGGATCCAGACCTCAGTCCAGCTGCCACCTCCTCCAGAACAGAGCCCCGGAGCCACCAGCACCGTCCCCCGACAGAGGGGACACCCGTTCTCTCCCAGCCTGTTCCCAGCAGGGTGTGCCCGGCTTTGGGTTGGCGTCAGTTCCCCCCACGTTAAAGGAAATGTCTCTGCCCCCTCCCTGTCCTGCAACGAGCCACGGCAGAGCCATCATCTTCCTGGCGTTCTTCCCCCTCGCCTCTGCGGGCGGACTCATTCTGGCTCCCCACCCATGGCGGGGCTTTTGGGAGAGCAGAGCGAAGAAGCTGGGAATTCCCGGGACAGCAGCCGGGCGGGCAGCAGGGACACGCCGGACACACGGCCGGAGGCACCGCAGCCGTGCGGGGCAGGACAGTGCGGAGCAGGACAGTGCGGAGCCAAGAGCCGGGAGCCAAGAGCTGCGGAGCCCGAGCGGGGGTGGGGAGCCGAGCGCTTACCTCTGCCAGGGTCCCCGGGAGCCGCGGCACCCACAGCGCCAGCAGCGGCAGCAGCAGCGACCTCATGGGGACCTGGTGGCTGCAGATCAGAGGGATGGCAAGTTGGGGGGTGGCGGGGGGCAGCTCCTTAGCAGTGGCTGTCCCCAGCCAGCCCCTTCTCCCACGGCAGCCAGCAGCCGCATCCCCACATACTTTCCGAGCGCGGGTGACAAGGTGACATCAGTGGGGACCGGCCGGCGAGTGGTACCTCGGCCGGGCCCGCTGCCCCCGGGCAGGGGCAGAGCTCGCCTCCGGCCCGGGAGAAGCCCAGCGGGGACGGCTCCCTGTGGCCGGGAGCATTTGCTGCTGTCCCCGCGGGTCCGTGTCCTGTGCGCTGGCTCYGCAGCTGGCCCGGAGCGAGCGGCTGCGGGCAGAGCCGGGGCTGGGCCGGGCCGGGGGGCTCGCTGCCGGCCGGGGTCTCGGGGGACCTCGCTGCGGCGGGGGCTGTGCGGGGCCGGAGCCCGCTCTGGCATCGGCAGGAGCTCCGGGAGCGGGAGGAACGGGAGGAGCRGGAGGGGAGGAGACAGAGCTGGACTGATGGCGGCTCCGGGCTGGGAGGGAGCGCTCGAACCGCCCCCAGCGCGGGGAGGGAGGGAGCGATCCTCTGGGATGCTGCGGGCAGCGAGGGCACGAGTGTGGCTGCGGGGTGCTGGGCACCCTCGGCTCTCCGTGCCGCRCTTTCGGGCACCCCTCGGCTCTGTGGGCTTTAATTCCGCCGCAGACTTAGCGGAATCAGAGGCTGGGGAGCGGGTGTTTGGGCACGCCGAGGGGCAGGACTGGGGGTCTCTGTGCCCATGGGAGTGCACACCGTGAGAGCTCCTGGGCATGGCATCGCGCGGGCACAGAGGTGCCCAAGCCACGTCTGCCCATCGGAGGGGCGGCTGAAAGGAGCCGTGCCCCGTGCCCGGGGTGGGACAGCGCTGTATTTTGGGGGGCTGCCCTGGGGAGCGGGCTGTGCCCCCCGGGCTGTGTGCRGGGCCGTGCTCTGCGGTGCTCCGCGGCGTCTGTGCAATGCGTGGCAGCATGCCAGCTCTGATTCAGAGCCGAGAGATGCCATTGGCTTCACATCAGCGCTGGRGATCTGGGACAGTGCTGGAAGAGGTTCAGTGATGCATCAGTCCGGAAGCCAGTGCAGCCTTTGTGGCCGTGGGAGTGTGTCCTGGTGGCCAGCACGGCCACCTATGAGGACTATTCAAGCTCTGCTCATTACCATGAGCCACCGAGYTGTCAGAGTGGGACACATCCCCCACCTGTCCCCTGGAACACCAGAATCCCTCACCAAAAGACTTAGAAGTTTGTCAGGTGGAATCTGGGACAGACAGAACAACCTTCAGTATCTGGACAAAGATCCAGGAAAGCTCCAGCTCCAGCTCTTGCAAGCAATTGAGAAGAGAGGGGGGCATAGGGGACCTGGTCTAGGACCCATCACCAACCCCGGGTCCATACTCCAACCCTTCTGACAACACCCGGGCTGATGGAGCCAGTCGGGAAAGGGCTCAGAGAACATGAATCYCCTTCGCTTTGCATGGGCGACAGTTAATTTCCGAGGTCCCGGCCAAATGGGACCAGTGCCAGGACCGGGTCCGTGGCCACAGTCACGTCTCTGCAGAGGTCCCTGCCTGGACTGGGCTGAGGACAAAGAAGCCCTGGCCCTGCAGCTCAGCCCAGCAGGTAGGGCTGGTTTGTCACTTCTGTGCAGGGCTTAGATGCTCCCCCAGCAGAAAGGCACAGCTCTGCCACCAGAGCCCCTCTGTGTCACTCTGTCTCCAGACCTGCCCTTGCTCTGCACCCTGAGCACAAAGATCGGRGTGGGAGCAGAAGGCAATGCCATGTCTCCAGCACYGGCAAGATGAATGCCCTTAATGCCTTATTAATTTTTTTAATCAATTAACCATCTTTAATGGCCACAGTTCCAAGGGCTGAATGCCAGAAGTGCCGTGGATGCATCTGCTGAAGTGATGGATGCCCAGGGTAAGAGCTCTGGCTCTTAGAGATCCCCTGATAAGCATTTGGGACTGAGGTCTTCCAGCACCTGGGGTGATGAGGCTGACCTGTCCCCTCTGAGGACACCCATCCCTGCTGCTGGACACTGGCACAATGGGCAGCTGGCCACCCCCCCTGACACCTGAATGCAAGGTGAAGGCTCACAGGTACTGGGGGTGATGTCCCCCAGTCCCTGATATGGAGTACCCCCCCAAAACCAGACAGGGGGATATTTGGGGCTGATTGCTGCCTTCTGCAGTGGGCTGGGGACTGTTTTTAGAGGCCCCTTTCCAGAGCTGGGCGGCTGCAGCCAGCTGGGAGGAGGCTGGAGCTCCTCGCTGCAGTGAGGGTTTGCCAGGTTTRCCCGGGGGCCCAGGGTGGGATCACAGAGGTTACAGCTGGCTGGACCCCAAAACACGTTTGCAAAGAGAATTCCAGGGGATGTCCCCACGCAGGGCCATTGTGAGGTGCAGCGTGCCAGCACAGGTGACCCCACTTTGGATGGGGGGTTGTTCCCTGCCATGAGCAGCCTGGAGGGTCACCTGCAGGGAGGGACAGGGGCAGCTCCAGCAGTGCTGGGGACTGCGGTGTCCCTGGAGCGTGGCAGGTGATGGCAGAGCTGAATTTGATGAGCTCTGGCTGGTGAAGCAGGGGCTGGAGGTGAGGATGGAGGGTGGACTGAGAGCTGTGACCCAGAGACATGGGACAGGAGGGACCCGTGACTATGACAGAAAACCCTGGAAGGAGATGTTGCATCCCCAGCGTCAAAGGCAGTGTCCCCTGCAGTGGTGGCATGGACAGGAGGTTCTCCCAGGCCACGGAGCCAAGGTGGGGGGGCTTCTGCAGCTTCAAAGCATTCCAAAAAAGCAGCTCCAGGCCAGCCAGAGGACAAACCCAGCCACAGGAGTCCTRGGACACTCCAGCTGGGCTGTTTCTGCAGAGAAGCTGAACCTGTGCGTTTTTGCTGCAGCAGCCCCGGTGCCTGCACAGGCTCTCTGCACAGACAGAGCCATCTCCACAGCCTAAATTGCTGCAGCCCTGCACACCTGCCCCACCAAGGCTGCTCCTCTGGCGTGCCAAGGAGCACAGGGTCTGTTCTACCTGCTCAGGTCCCTGCTGACCACGCAAGGATTCCTGGAACAACACGATATCGGTTCCCTCGGACCTTGCTGCTGTGCTGTGCCACTGTCCCGCACCTCCTCGGCCAGGAGGACAGGTTACCTCACCGGGCATGAAGACAGGCTGGGGGGATGCCTTGCTGCCCACCGGGAGGGGATTGGCCTCTGAACATGGGCCGGGAGACATCCCAGCAGCTTTGGCATCCTCTGTGAGCCCTGGTGGCACCGCGAGCTGTCCCCTCCTGCCACAGGAACACACACGAGTGTCCCAGTCCCACTCATTTAACCCCGGGTGCCAGTGGCTGTGCTCGGGGAGTCCTCCCTGAGCTCGGGGCTGTGGCTGCAGTGGAACAGCCCAAAGCGCTGCTGGGATCCCAGCCCAGCCCCATCCCTGGCGCCGCAGGGCTCAGCAGCCTCCACACGACACAGAAGCTGCTGCTCCTGTGCCAGCCCTGCCCWCCCCACGGCCACCTCAGTGCCACCGTGCCACCTCAGGCAGGGACAGAGAGAGACAGAGCCCTCCTCCCGCTGTCAGATCTCCCCTCCGGTCCCCCCGACAGCGAAGCCTTCGGCTGTGCCAAACCCAAAGACAACTGCAGAAGGTTTCTCCACCCAGCAGCTGGAACCGGGCCTGGAAACTCAGGGGCTGCCGAGTCATCACATTTTCCGCGAAGCGGCGAGCGCTACCGCAAGGCGCAGGGGGATGGGGACGCCCCGCCGGCCGCCCGGGATGGCTGCAKAGCTCGGCCGGACGGGGCTGGGAGGGGACCGGGTCTGGGCAGCATCTGGCGAGGGGCAGAGCCGCAGCGAGGGACACGCTCATGGCCTGAGCTCTGGGGGAAGCAGAGCTGGGACAGGGGACCCGGCAGCACGTGTGTCACTSTAGGGCCGGGTCCTGTTTATGGGGTGAGGGACAGTAGCCACAGTGCAGTGGCAAAAGCTGTGGGCTGTCCCCCCGAGCAGAGCCAGCCCCAGGACAGAGCAGGGTACACCTGCTCCATACTCCATGCGCTGGTCCTCTCTCCAGGTGCCCTGGGCACGGAGCTGGCAGCACCGGGTTTGTCCCTGCAGAGCCATCTCCCAGACCTGGGCACGGCCCTGCACACCTGGCAGGAGGTGGGGCCTCCCTGGGAAGCACCTGCTGGAGTGAGGATGGGCAAGCGGGCAGCAGAGTGCCCACTGCACCCGAGGATGGGCAGGGTGGGCAGCAGAGTGCCCGCTGAACCCGAGGATGGGCAGGGTGGGCAGCAGAGTGCCCATCACACCCAAGGGTCCCAGCTGTGTCACAGGGTCTGTGCAAGGTGACAGTGGTGGGTGATGCTCCCAAGGCTGGACACAGGCAGAGCCTTGCARGGTCCCTGCCAGAGGTCAGCGTGTGGCTGAGGACACTGCCACAGGGACTCCAACTGTCACTCAGAGGGCACGGGCATGGCCTGGTGCTGTGGGCAGTGCGGTCACTCAGAGGGCATGGCTGTGCTGCTGGCAGTGCTGTGGGCAGTGCTGTGGGCAGTGCTCTTGGCAGTGCTGTCACTCAGAGGGCACGGCTGTGCTGCGGGCAGTGCTGTCCCTGCATACAGGAGCCTCTGCTGCTGTCTGGACCTGCAGCCCTGATACCTGTGTGGGATCTCTGCCATCCCTCCCCGGGCAGGTTCCTGTGCATCCACCCTGSTGCCCTACAGCAGCGTATGCCCAGGGCCCCCATGATATATGGGGTGGCACTGGGATTGGGCTGGGAACAGCCCTGGGGCTCCTGCCCAACAACAACCCTTTGGTCCCTGTCCGTCTGTCCCTCCCAGTGCCCACCAGCGYTGTGAACTGCCCCAGGACACAATTTCTCCCCTCTGCCGCTCAGAGGTGCTGAGAGCTGCCCAGGGCTGYGAGGGAGGAACGAGAGGAACAGGCTGCTCGCAGGGCAGAGCCTGCAGAGGATGCAGGTGCTGCTGGGACCTCTCCCTTTGCAAGGTTCACACGCCACGGCTCTCCAACCCTAAACCCTGGAGCACTGGGWTGCTCCTTCTCCAACCCCTTGCAAGCGTTTGATCATTCCCAGGTGGAGCCCTGCCAGCGCCGCCGCTGCCTCCTGACCCACGCTTTGCTACTTTGGAGCTCTTCCCATTCTGCAGAGGGGGAGGGCAGGCAGGCAGCGGGGACATCACATCACCAGCCACGCTGCCCGGGCTGGGGGAGTGGCAGCAGTGACCCCGTTACCGTCACCTGGGTGATGCTGYTCGCTCCCCCCGCGCTGCTGAAGCCCTGGCAGCGGAGCCCGGGATGCCTGCGGCTGCGAGCCCGGCGCCTCGCAGAGCTGGGAGCGCAGCGCTGCGGTGACTCAGAGCACGCCCAAAGCCGGCAGAGCCGGGCAGACCTGCTCTGCACCCCCGGGCTGCGGGTGCCGCC